AATTCGGGGGCCCTCAGCTGTTTAGGGTTCAGGGCTGCGGGACCCCTAAAGTTTTGGTATGGCTTCAGGGTTTTAGGGCTCATGTAGGGTTTCAGGTGTGTCGGTCCAGGGTTCAGGGTTTCGGCGGTTATACAGGGCTTTAGGGTTGAGGGTTGAGGGTTTAGGCCTCGAACTGCATCTAGCGGCTGACCGCCGAGGAGCCGCAGCGCATGGCTCCGGCGGTCATGGCAGGTGCCATGCCCTAAACCCGTAACCTTCAGTCTCAGGGTTCAAGGGTATTATAGGGTTTAGGGTTTAAGGTTTAGGGTTGTTGGGGCTTCAGGGTAGTGGGTTGTAGTTCGGATGTCGGGGACTGGTCCTTCTCCATTAGGTTTAGGGTTCGGGGGTTTAGGGTTCAGGCTTCAGGGCAAAGGTTGTGTTGGTTTTGATGGGTTTAGGTTTGAGGGTTTGGGGCTTGAGGGGTTTTTAAGGGTTGGAGTTCAGCGGCTCGCGGCGCGAAGAAGCGCCCGCGAGCCAGCGAGACTTGGCACAACACACCCTAAGATAGGGGCCGTCGAAACCTCCAACCAAGCCCATACACCGTCAACCCTCACCTCCCACTCCCCCGTAAGTTCCGGAGTTTGGTTGTAAAGTGCAGTTCTCTCTGTTGGGGTTTGTGAACCCTACACCTTAAATCCTAAACCCTACACCCTGAAGCCTAAACAATCGGCTATGCAGGCGGGAAAAAAACGCCCCTCCCCTGCCTAAACCCCAGAGGAACTCGTTTGAAAGACAACTTGCGGTGTTGGGGCCTATACCATTAGGGTCAGTGGCATGAACTGAGCCCAGTGCAGGTGTCATTTACGCTGGCCCTTGAAGCGGTTGGATGTGAGGGCGCTGCCCTGTAAGCCCTAAGCCCTAAAACGTAAAAACCCTATACCCTAAAGCTTCCCGAAGCCCGAACAGTGTAAGCGGTGATGGCTTGAGTGCCTCGATTATTCAGCCGCTGCGCAAGAAGATGCCCCCACACCCTTTTGCATCAGGCTTGCTGTCTTCGCCCCACAACGTGAACCCTAAACCCTAAACCGGATGACTTTCGTCCCGCTAGCGATTCCAGATTTAAAAGAACGCGTGAGCCTTGCTTCCTTGGAAGAGCCTTTGGCTCGGATCCAGGAGCTTCGACCCGTGTCGCAACTCGGACTCAGGGTCTGGGGTTTCGGGTTTAGGGTCTAGGGTTCGTGGTTTCGGGTTCAAGGTTGCGGGTTTTGAGGTCTTAAGGGGTGGGGGGGGGGGGGGGGGGGGGGGGGGGGGTATGCACAGAGGAGCTTCCTTCCGGAAATGAATATATTCATCAGGCTACCTACAGTACCTACAGTAGTATGGGCCATGCACCATGATCTTTGACTTGTCTTGCCAGCTTGTCGTCGTGTGGGTTTGCAACCCGGTCGCCTCAGCTTAAATCAGGACATCGTCTCTGCTGCTGCCCAGTTGCAGCATCAATCGAAACCCAAACCCCAAGCTGACGCCTAGCGACCCGCGCCATCCAACGTGAAGTTGAACCCTGCCATAATTTTAACGCCAAGCTCTCATGCTCTGACACCCTGAGCGTGCGTAGCACCACCGCAACAGGCTGGTGATTTGGACGCGCCTTTTCTTCCACCCAGGGCGCCGTCGACCGCGCAAAAAATCCCAGCGTTTATGCGTGCTGAAGGGGTGCAATCCAGAGTTGAGTGTTCAGTGGCCGGAGGGATCGAGGAACAGGTTGTCAACTTGCCTATACGGCACCAAAGGGTAGGGTTCTCCTTCAAATGGTGGCGAGGCGCTGCTTTCTTGACCTTCGGCGGGGTTCTAATCATTGCTAATCTAACCGCTCCTTGAGCTACCGCTCGAGTCATTTACGGACATCAAGGCCTACGAACCTTTGTGAACAGGGTAGAATACACTGCCAGTCCGCCCGACCTACAGCCATCGGAGCAGACTCGCTTTACGTGGTTGTTTTCAAGGTTGAAACGATGTAGGTTGACGCAGCGACACATTGACCGCATCAAAGATGCCAGTGATGGTTCACATGTACATGGGAGTGGTTGTTTGGAAACTCAAACAAACAAGCAAACGGCCAATGGCTGGGGCTCTCACAATCTGAAGAATGTTGCTGGTCATCATCACCATCAGAATCAACGCAAGTTGCAACATCAGATGTGTACAAGGCTTAACTAAACTGTTGACTCATGGCAAAGATGCAAAGGTTCCTAAACCCTAAACCCTACAAATCCTGAACCCTAAACCCCTAATCAAGGATGTCAGCCCCGACCCTCGCCGCCCTTGTCACAGCTGACACCTTTGAATCCTTTGAACATGGAACGACAACGACGCAGGGCTTTTGTAAAAAAAGCTTTTTGCAAATGACGAAGATGCGCGGATCCAAAAAGCAATGGCGTTTGCGAGGATGAGCTGCCATATTGGACTTCCAAGTTCCCAGGGTCCGTAGACGCCGGATTCACCGACAGGATTGCCACGTTGGAAACGCGAGCCTCCAAAAGCGACGACCGCGGCCACGATGATTGCAGCGCACACATGACTGCTGTATCTTTGGAGATACGGGGGCCGGAGGAACACCGAGGACTGCTTCGCGGGTCGTCAGGGCTTACCTGCCGCGAACAATACGGGACGTCCAAACAAGATTTTCAATTTTTCAGAGAGGGCTCCCGCGCGGAAGATGCGCTGAATTGCACATATCTTTACCTGGTTTCTGTGTGACATCAATGAAGACATGTTCCTGCCTGCTGCTTCGCTCTTGGAGCAATTTAAATTGATAAATTGAAAAAACACATGATGTGCCATTCTGAATAAGTGACTTTTTTTGATGTCAAAGCCCCAAGCCTCGCCCGCACCCGCTTTGCTCGCCGGTGCATTCAGCAACCTGACACAACGTCAGATGTTTGCCTCCGTCGGTGTTGCTGCATGTGAGACCCATACTCCCAAAACCCTGACCTCCATTTCGCCAGGGTGCCCATTCGGGGTGGCCAAGATTCCGAATCCTTAATCCGACCTCCCGAGTGGCCAAGATTCCGAATCCCTAATCCGAACTCTGTTCGTGCAGCGAAGAGCTATGGTTTATTCAGGACACACAGGTCATCTCCAAAACTCCGCATGAGAAAGATTGACACAGTTTTTGCAGCACCATGCGGCGGGGTGAGTGGTCGCCGCAGCTGCCGACGGAGAAGGCGGGTTAGGGGACAATGGCATTTCTCGCGTTTCGAAGGAGCGGGCTCGGTGTCTTTTTTTGTAAGCTGCCGGGCTCTGGGTTAGGTTAAGGCTTGGATATTCGGTGGTACGGCTGAAGTGGCTTCGAATCCAGGAGTCTTCTTAGGCACATCACGCCCTAAGCCCCCAGTCGAAAAGACTCGCCTTCTTCTGATGTATTTGCCTGTGATGATGCAAGGCAAAAGGTTCTGTTGTGGTATCTCTGCGTTGACCTCCTTTTTCTTCGGTGACATCTCCAGCGAGACATTGGCAGAAGGGCTTGGTCATGTGGTTGCCTGTTTAGGTGCACGCGACCTGGACACTAACAGTACAGTACAGCAGCCATCATTCCGTGACGCCGCATGAGCTCGCTGAAAGCGAACGATCCAAATTCCTTCCTTCCGCCCGTGGCAGGGCCCACGTCGTCTTCGCGGCGTCGGCGCCGAACACAGGCATTCTGGGGTCACCCCTGAACTTTTTAAATGCTCAGGGCTCTTCAAGCTGCAAGCATCAAGGCTTGAGTTCCGGGCCCGGGGAGATCCTCAGAATCGTTGAATTCGGCATTTCCTGAGCCAGCGATTTCAAGCAACAGGGAGTGGTCGAAGACCTGCGTCGCCATCGCTGAAGCCAGCCTTCCCCCCGACCTCCCACCAACAACGTGGGAGTGTGAAAATTTCAGTCGAGCCGACGAGTCCGAGCCAAGCTGAGTCTAAACCCTGCATCCCCAAGCACAAAGTGCGAGGTGCCTCTCAGCTTTAAGCTGCATTGCAAAACGCGGCAGGACCCTTCCTTAAGCGTGGCATCAAGCAGCACCCAAGCCTTAGTTCGGTCAGAAGCCCACAAAGAGCACGCCCACACACACACACACACTTTCTCTCACAACCCCTCTCCAGCTTCTACGAAACCCATTTGCTTGGAATGTCGGCTGTATGGTTCAGGTCGGTTTAGGTTGATAAAGGAAATTGTTCAACCATTTTGCCGAATTGCTGGCCGCAGCAGACATAAGAAAGTCACAATCGGCCTTCGGCCATTTTACGAAAGGCACCTTGCATATGCAACCCCAGTCCCTCAAGCCCCAACACTCGCTGCCGGTGAGGGAGCCACCGAAACAGTGCGGTTAGGAGACTCGCTTGGAGCCCAGCATTGTGAGTTGGGGCCGTGAGATGAGAGCTTGGAGACGGCGTCAGATGGGTCCCAAGTCCTGACCCAAGTCGAGCATGTGAAAGCTGTTCTTCCGTCGTGTGTGTGACTTCTTTTTTCTGGGACCATTTGAGGCAAACCCCGCGCATGACCACAGGGTATGATTGAGGCAGATGTGTGCAGAGTGTCTTGAGGGCTATCAATGGCACTGCCCCAATTTCATGCACTGTAATCAGGGTGTAGTGTGTGATTTCTGACAGTTACCCGCAGTGCCGAAATATTCAGATCCCCACTGCAACTGCGGTACACCTTTGCCCTTTGCTGAAATTCGCCCTCGTTACCCCCCCTCTCTCAAAGGTGACGCGCCCCAAGCGCTGCGCGATGAAGGCGGGGAGTGGAAACCGTGCCGAAGAGCCTCACGATGATGTGATAGAGAACTCAAGCTTGAACGTAGCGATAGGAATGTGGAGGAGAGGAACAGGGTCGTTCTCAAGCCTATATAAGTCCTAAGTATCGCTAAGTCCTAAACCCTATACCCGAAACCCACTCCCAGTATAACTACCCTCTATTGCGCGCTGCCCAGCCCAGTGCACTGAGATCAGATCGCACTGTGCAACATTGTTCTGGCCCCAGCGTATATGTGTAGATCCTCACGACAAGTCATGAAGGAAACGAAGGAAGCCGACTGTTTGGAAGCCACGGTTGCGCTGCAGAAGCAGGAGCACCAGGCCCATGCAGGAGTCGTTGGACTGGAGGTGTTCTCGGCCGGCCTCCCACCCATCCTTGCTGGCAAGAAGACATGCTCTGTGCGGAACTATCCTCTTCCAAAGGATTTGGAGGGCAAGCCACTGCTGGTGCTGGCGATACCGCCTCCAACGGGTGAGGGTGCCGACACTCTGCCAGACGAGGTCGCCGCCGAGTCTGGTTTGTTCGAGTGCGTCGGCGTCATCGTCTTCTCGAGTGGCTCATATCGGTACGACACCCGCGCCGCATTCGAGGAAGACGCACCTCGGCACGCGATGGTGCCTGGGACACCCCTCCATGCCAAGTATGCAGGTGAAGGGAGCGGATGGCCCGGGCCCGAAGGGTACACGTATCGCTGGGACATTGAGACCGTGAAGCCTTGGCCCCCTGAGCTGGAGATGGCTACAAGGATGCCTGCCGTGTCCCGGCGATGTCACTCGCTCTTTTATGTCCAGGGAACTGGCTGGGAGTCCCTGATGCAGGCCGTGATCTCTGGGACCAGCCACCGGGGAACAGTGCGACCGCTTGAGGCTGATCCATCCGCTTGATCCGAGAAAAAAGACCATCCCAGAGTGTTGAGGTCAAATGGCTAGAGAAACATGACCCGCCTACTGCGACAGAGGGTTGGAAAGTGTTCTTTTTCCTCTGCAAAAACCGCTCTCTCTCTCTCTCTCTCTCTCTCTCTCTTTCCGGCCGGAGCTGTGTAAAAAGGGGGGATGGTTGTCACGGGTTGTCCGGGCTCTGCATGTGCGCTCACCTTCCATCGACGCCGAAGGCATTTGGGGATTCGGGCTTCGGAGAGTTGAACCCCCGTGCCCCACAACCCGACCCTACACACCTTTCGGTTTTGTCGGTCCTCATACACTCATAACACCACTTTACACCACTCATGGAGGCTCAGAGGTTGGGCCTCCTAAGCACACCGCAACCTTACATCCTAAACCCCACACATGCTGGTACCAGTTTGGCTTAGGGTGAAAGATACGAGTCCTTAGTCAACTCTAGACCCCTTGTCGTAAACAATTTTGGATATGGTTGCCACATACATCTCATTCAAAGCCTTGAGGACCCAGCAAAAGGTTTAGATTGACGTATCCGCTGCTTTGGATTGTGAGTTTATGTAAGGCTCAAGGTTTTAAGGTGCAGAATGAGGATCTGAAATTTCGGGATGGGCGTTTAGGGAATTTTGAGTTCATTTCGGGTTGAGCCTCCGATCCAGCATCAGTGAATGATTGCAGTTGCTCAAGGAGTCCTGCCTTAGGGGGCGAAGGGTTGTTGGGCTTTAAGCTTTCAGACTTTTTCCCCATGAAGTACAAGGGGTCGGGTTATGCCTTTGAGCCCTTAACCCTCAACCCTCAACCCAAACTCCACAACCCTCAAAGCCAACGCATCAGGAAGCAGCTGGTGCCATCGATTGTGCGGAACGAGGCCTGCCGAAAGTCGACGGGCGCGAGCTTCTTTGAAAGTTCTTTGGTGCTTTAAACTCGGCTTTCAAACTCCGTGTCTGAATGCATAGGAATGCATAGGAATGCACTAGTACAGAAGGAACTGTTCCCAATGCTTGGATGATTTGCCTACGCTGGCACTCAAGAAACAACTCATCCTGCAGCGATAGAGCCACGAAGCCCCTTAGCATGTCGGGCGGCCAGCATACGGAACCGCTGAACTCAATCGGAAGTGAGCGCGGGAGCTTCAAGCAGCGCCTTGCAAACGTCCTTGAGCCTTGGGGACGACATGAAGCTGATTAGAGTCCCTATACTTCTGCAAGCTTATGAGGGTACGTCTATGACCCACAAACCTTCTTGAGGCGCATGTCGTTCCCAAGGACAACCGGTGGTTCAACGTGTTCATTCTCTTTGTGGTGTTGGTGGATCTGCTGGTCATCGCCGTAGATGTCAACTATCGAGCCATCGGTGTCGACGCCGGGGCGTATCTGGCTCCGCAACGCACTGTGTGCCTGGTGGTGTACTCCCTGGAGGTGGGCGCGGTCTTCTTCGCACGCGGTCGCACAGCGATGTGGGATTGGACATGGTGGGTGGTCCTTTTGGCGACCGCCCTGCCGCTTGGGGACTCAATGAACCTCATGAGTAGAGTTTGGATCACCCCGTCGTTCGGTTAAGGAGTTATGGGCCACACACCTCCAAAAAGTAGAGCCCCCAAATAGTACCCTACTCTTGGGTCATTCTTAGGACCCCTTATAAGGGGATCTACGTTTTGGAAACTCAGAATTCTGGGGGTAGGTCTTGGCTTGAACCCGTGTGGCGTGAACTTGATGCGAATCGGGTCCTCTGGCTCCTGAGCTTACTCCGCCTCACCAGGATCTTCAAGGCAGGAGTTGGGTTTTTAGGCTTTGAGGGCTTAAAAAGGGTCACCCAAATACCCACAAAATGCAGAGACCCAGACTCTAAACACAGCACCCTAAATCTTAGTAGCTGAGCATAGCTGAGCATCTCATCCTACCAGAATTGAATAGGCTAACCTTGTTTTGGCCCAGGGTACGCAGCAACTCGGCTTAACCGCGGAACTACCAAACCAGAACCCTTAGCCGAAAAACCCTTAACCCAAAACCCTACATCCCTAACACCCTGTAAGGCAACGGCTGTCTTGGCAGAGAAGACACCCTGGCTGCGTGGCCTTCGGGCAATCTGCACCGGGATGTGGTCGTGTCTCGGGACCTGCAGGGTGCATATAGGGCTTGAGGGTTTAGGGTTTTGGGTATTGGGTCCTGGCGTGTTGAGGGTTTCATGGCACTCATTGTGTTTAGGGCTTTAGGTTGGGACGTTCCCCTTTATACTAACAGCCTTGGGATTCTAGTACCCCCTATCATAATCCCCATTAAGGACTGCTAGTATAAGGGGGAACATCCCAAGCTTTGGGTGTGCTAGTCTGTGGGTCCTTCCTGAGAGCAGCGTGCTAACATTTGACCTTTCCGTCAGCAAGAGACGGCTTGGGATTCTCAGAGAGAACCATCTCGCAAGGCCCAGCCAGGAGACTGGGCTTAGGGTTTAGTAGGGTTTAGGGTTTAGGGTTTAGGGCTATAACGGAAGGCGTGAACTGCAGGTCACTCTGATGAGTTTTGCATCTTGAGTGTCGTGTTTACAGGGGTGCCCTTTCAGGTGCCGTATGCCAAACAAAATAGAGGACGCGTCCTGACAAGGCGTTTGTCGTGGCGTCTCGCCGCCGCTCTTTGCCCACCTACTGCAGCAGGAAAGCTTTCTTCGTAACCCTGAACCCTGAACCCTAAACCCTGCCTCTGCTTCTGCGGCCGGGTGGACTTGGATTCAAATGGCTCTGCGCAAGCTTAAAGTTGGTTGGCGGGCTGCCGTCGCGGCGCTCAGGGCAGGGCAGAGGGTTTAGAGTTTAGAGTTTAGGAATTTGGGGTTTAAAGTTTAGGGTTTCTGTTCCTGTGCTGAAGTTTGTCTGAGTTCATGGTTCTGATCTCTCATCTGGGGCCGGGCTCTAGACCTACAGCCCTAACCCCTAAGCCCTACAGCAGCATTTCAGCAGGATTTGGTTCTGGGGCTGCGTTGTCTTCCTCGTGGTGCAGACCATGTTTGCCGTGATACTCGTTGAGCTAGAGCCTCGCCGCGTTCTTTCAGTGACTTAGGGTCGAGGTCGGGTTTAGGGTTTGGGTGTTCGGGATTCGGGGTTCGGGTATGGTTCGGGTAGCTTCGCAGTCCGCATGAAGCCTCCACCTGGGTAGAGCGAGGCCTTGCAACAAGAAACAGTGAATGTTTCCGTGCAGATGTCAGCCAAGGTTCATCCTGTCCTACTTTCGCAGGAGGGCATCTCCCATGATTGCCCTGAATGCTTAAGGCACTTCTCTTCGGTCTGGAATGCGAACCTCTGGTTGTTCACGGCTGTTTTCTCCGACGGCTGGGTGCATCAGGCCCCCATCATCATCCAGGCACGGAGTACTAGCAACCGTGAGCGACCGGGTCTTCAGAGAGATCACATGCTAGAAAATGCTGTCAACGTCAGGCTAAGTACAGTTGTCATAGCCACAACCAGAACAGCAGTTCTCCTTCTGAGAAAAAGCAAAGATGAGTTGGAGGCAGCTCCATGGACAAGTCAGATCCTTGTTGGCTCCTTTAGCATGATGGGCTTTCTGGCGATCAAGGTGGTAGCGGAGATCGTTGCCGTCGTGCTTTCCAGGGGTGATCACACGGCGATTGAAAAGTGGGGAGTGCAAGAAGCCCCTGCTCCGGAGCCAGTTCAGACCATGGAGCCTCGCATTGGTACAGACCTCGACACAGACACAAAGCTCCTGCAATTGCTCCTCGCCCGCTTCCAGCAGGACGACCTGGGGAGGGCGAGGCTGGATGGGCTCGTAAAGGAGCTCCGCCAAGCTGGCGTGGGAGTGGCTCTGGGAGCTCAGCATCCCGAGCACGTCGCTACCAAGGATGCCCTTGAAACCACCATAGGCAAAAGCGCAGAAGGTGAACGCGTGCAGGTGCTGTAAGTACCAGCCTGGCATTGCAAAATGCAACAGCAACTGGAATGATTTTCCTCTTGTGCTCGCAGTTGGGCGTTCCCGACAAGTCGGGGGTGCTTCCCAGCTCAGCACCAGGTCCCAGGTTTATGGGGCGCCTGAATAATCAAGTGCGTTGAGTAATCAAGTGCGTAGGCCTGTTCCCTAGCTGCCTAAGATGTAGTCTGCATGGGCCTCCGAATGCTTGCACCCTTAACCCCGGTTTGTTTGTGATTATTCAGGCTCTTAGAGTCTTCTTTTCAGTGGTGTGGGTTGCCGCACGGACAAAGCAATTGGTGCCCGGCACTTGGACCGCAACTTGAAGGAACCATCGGAGCCTTGTGAAAGCTGTGAAGGCTTGGGTGACGGACTGCAGACCCATCCCCCTAAACCCTAAGCCCTTGTAAACCCTAAACGCTAAACCCTAAACCCTAAACCATAGGCTGCAGGTTCGGTATGGTGAAGGTTCGGTGAGCCGAAAAGCACCCTATAGCCATAACCGACCTGAAGAAATCAACCAGAACCGCAAGCACCTTAGGCGCGCAGCCTTGAACGAGTCTGCTAAACTCTGTAGCCCGAAAACCTCCTAGGCTTAAAACTCTTAACGCTTAAACCCTGAAACCATCTAGCGCTTGAACCCGAAACCCTGAACCCTAAACCCTAAACCCCCCCTGTCGCCCGGCTCGGGTCTAGGGATTGCACCAGAAGAGATAGGGCCCGTTTTGTGGTTGGACCCATGGCTCATGTGGCTTTGCATAGGGTTTAGGGCTCACTGTCCGGGTGTTAGGATGTAGGATTTTGGAGTGTAGCTGCTGGTGGTAGGGTTCAAAAGTTGCAGAGCTCTTTGTTTCTGATGGCCTTCCGTGTGCTTGAGCTCCTCCCCCAAGTCCCGCTGGCGCTTCCGTCACCTGGAGGGTCCGTACCTTTTGGGGTTAGTTGGGATTCGAGTACACTACCCCAAAAAGGTACTACATGGGAGCCCTTAGCTAGCGCTGATGAGCCCCAAGCCCCCGTAACAAAATGACGCTTCTGTGCTCTTGAGCCCCGCTCCGCACATCACCGTGAGAGGTCCCAGGAGTGCCCATGTGTGGGAGTGAGCCGCAAATTCCTTATCTGCAGGGTGGGGGGGGGGGGGGTTCGAAAAATATGTTCATGTTCCCCCTTGCTTATGGGGCTTTTTGAACATGAATCATGGGGCCGAGGGGGCTGTAGCTCCACGCTGCTTGTCGGCTTGAGCTTCTGAAGTTCCGCTCCTTTGTCCAGGTTGGCACTGCGATCATCAAAAACCAGGTCGGCGCGAAGCAGGACCGGAAGGGAAAAAACTCCGTCGAACCCCGACATCGCTGCATTTCTTCTGTTTGGAGTTCAGGGTCCGGGTGCTTGGATTCTGGGTGTGCTAGCAGCGAAGGCTGCACTCAGCCCGCAAACCTCCGAAGCCAAAGTTTAGATGAAGCCAAGCTCTGCTGATTAACTAAGTGCATGCCGTCAAAGCTACTCTTGCCTTTACAGATAAGCCGGACCATGCCGAGTAGGAAACAGGCCCCCTTCCAGAGCGGAGAGTTGCCCTTATTCCCTTATTCATCCTGACCCATTCCCAGACCTTCAGCCAGGTTCTGAGGCTGAAGTGGCCGTCTCCGGAGCAGCTGGAGACTCGCTCCACGGCATATATTGGAACTCTCGAGTCGCCTCAAATTGACCCAAGTGTCCATGGCTTGAGATCCACCGGTGGCCCTAATAGGCTGGTGCCATGTGTCGAATAGAAGCTAGCTGTAGTGAGATTGGGAGGGGGGGGAGGGATGCACCTGTGCCTAAGAAGCCTGGATCCTTGAAAGCGAATCCTGTCAGTTCAGGTGCCGGAAAAAATGATGTTATGCATCTTGTCCTGTCCATGTTCCATGATGTGCCCCGGCTGCACTTCATGAATATCCTCTGTCGGTTTAGGGCGCGTTGCTCCGCACTGTGTAGGGCAAGTTCAGTATGGAACACATCAGGCGATGTAATGGGCATCTGCAAACCCTAAACCGTAGACTTGCAGCCGTTGGCTGTGGACTCAGGTGCCTGCGCAGCTGAGCACCATGCTCCACGCTGGCAAGCAGCCTTTTTTGCATGGGGGTGGCACGTTGCTTGTTCTTGCGGCCGTTTGTGAGGTCATCAGAGATAGGAGAGTCATCAGACAGTCATTGAAGCTTGAGTGTTCTCGTCCCAGGCGAGGCTCAGCACAGTGAACGGCACAGAGGAACTGGCAATGTGCGACAGTGCGACAGCTGCAGCTACCGTTGCTTGATCTGGGGGCATTCTTAATCGAGAACATCGCCAGCCTGTTGCCGAGCCCGGCATAGACCGGACAGACACTGGCGGTGAGGTGTGAGGTCGTTTCTTAGGATGGCATGTTTGTTTGGGAGGAAAGCGAGTGCGTGACCCGGGTGTCTTTGCAGCCGTCCGCCATTTTCCCCGACATCGCCCAGAACAACTTTCGTGGACTGGCCATTCATACGAGCCTACTTTAAATTCCGACATCAATGAGCTGCAGGTCTTCGAATGGTCACTTGAGAGAAGATCAAAGGGCGCTCTCAGACGAACGACCTGTGAGGACCTCACAACTTTGAAGCGCCCCTGGCCACCTGAAGCCACTGAGTGGCTTGGACAAGTCCTGAAAGCTGAACGCCGTGAGCTTCACAGTCTCCTGCTGGGCCGGGCGCAAGCGTGAGGTCCCAGGCCTGAGTTTCCTCATCCTGCCGGTAGCTTATGTCAAAAAGGAAGAGCGTGGGTCGTGAGCGCCTTGGCTGTTGCAGCAAAACCTGAGGTTGGTATTGCGCATGATTTCAGTATATTTCAGTAGAGTTGCACCCGCCTCGGCCTCAAGCAGCTGAACAGAAGAGAACCACAGCTCGAAGATGCTCCAAGCAGACCCCGGCAAAGCTCCCCAGTGATCAGAATCAAGGGACAACTCGGACAGTGGCCCACAGGCTCTCGAAGCAAACCCCAGAGTCCTACATGTACCAACACCTTCCAAAGCACCCTCAAAGCATCAGCCGAACGCCCTGAGCAACAAAAAAACAGCACGAAATCCTGCTCGCTCCTTACGACCCTCGGCCGGCGCCTACAGCGACCCTTGCCAGATGTCATCTCGAAGGGGTCGTTTTACATGTGCTCGGGCTGAGGGCTGAGGGCTGCGCAGGGTTAAGCTTGCTTTAGGGTGCTTGGGTTGAGGGAGTAAGGTTGATGAAGCAGTTGTCTTGTGCAGTGCATGGCCGGACAGCGGCAGAGCTCGCACATGTTATTTGCAGTTCGGATGCCAGTTTGGATGCCTTCGTCGTCACCTTGCGGCGCACGAACGGCCTGAAATTGTGGCCGCTCTCTCTGTCTTGTCATAGCTTGAAGGCTCCATCTTCTCCAGCTTCTCGCTGCTTCCGGGACACTTAAAAAGAGAGTCAGTAAACACTCCGTTTTCGCTGCGACTCCGTTCTTGGTATGAGTGCCTTACCTCGAGTATGAGTTCTTTGCATTCCCTGCGAGGGCCTTTCGTATTTCGAGTGCCTTGCATTCAGCACCCACGCTGTTCTACTAACGGACTGAGCTCAAGAGCAACTCAGGGTTTGCAGACTCTTGAGGGCAGTCCCCACTCTCCTTTTGAGAACACCTGACACCTTTGAATTCGAGTTGCTGATTTGGGGTTTGGGAGTTGGAACGGTGTTCTCCAACACTTTATTTTCAACTGAGAGCGCTGCCGGTTCGTGATTCGTGTCCAGGATGACGCGCGAGGAAGCGCTGCTCCGCATCCAGGAGCTGGAGGCTGCCATTTCGCCCTCTTTTTTTTCCAATTCGATCCGAGACTTGTTTTAAATAAAGTTCCTGGCAAGATCCTGGAAGGCGAGAATGGAGAGGCGGCAGGCTGCCAAGGCAGTCAAAGTCGCCATCCAGGAGGATGGCGTGTTTTTCTGGGCTCGCTGCTGCCTCAGCTTCTTCTGCTGCTGTTAGAGCCCCGGCAGCAAGAAGGGGGGGGAGGGGGGCACCCGCACGGGCCCTGGTTCGGGAATACATTGGTTTCCGAGCAAGTGCACTTTCCCCGTCATCGCAGGCCATAAAGCAACGCAAGAGCATCCCAGCGTAAGGGCCCTTGAGCCGCTTCGGTTAGCGAATGTGCGTGGGAAAGTTGATTGAGTTGATCGCAAGGGGCCAAGCACTGTGAACCGTTTTGGCTTGAAACCCCCAAGGAACTCCCCCATGTCCCCCCTACCCCGCCCACTAAGAAAAGACATTTTTCTGAAGCCCCCCAAAAAGCGCTGGCTGCGCAGGCTTGGCACTCGAGGCTGGAGACCGCCTCATGATCTTGGAGGTCTGCGACGGAGGCCTGCGGGGCAAGAGCTTCTCAGATGACACACGAAGCATGACGGGTTGGGATGTTCCCCCCTTTTTTGTAACAGCTGCTCCAGCTTCGGGAGTGAGCTGTGCAGGTGCCAGGCGGGAAAGGCAAAAAGGGTATCCAAAGGAGAGGTCAAGGGTCCCTAGACACAACATACCGCCAAGCCAGATTTCGTAGCGTTGACGTTTGGGCTCACGAATGCTGAGCTCAGCAAGCTTTAGTACAAAATCTCAGCGCTTTGCCAGGCCGTTGGCTGTCTGGCTCTGGCTGGGCCCTTGCCAGAGGCCCCGTGGCTGAACTGCCAGTGCAGGCATTGAAAGAGTGGCATTGAATGTGTTATCTTGTGGACGAGTTCCAAGCAACAGCCGCTGGGGCGCTAAGAGGTTGCGATGGAGATGGATTTCTCTCACTCCAAAAATCGGCAGGAAGGTAAGACAAAGCATAGAGTCATAGAGGCTCTGCATGCTGAGGCATGGCCGGCATGCCCTCAGCACAGCTGAAACGAAAGGTCACGACCTGCGAGCTGGGTGATGGCTGCACTGTGGCGTGGGCTCCAACCTCACGACCGGTGACCGAGTGACGGTGCCTTGCGATCTGTCTTGGCAAGCTTTGTTGGCCTTGGCCTTCT